GACCGGGAGCGGCTACTGCACTCCAGTCTGGGTGACAGAGTGAGACTCCAACTCAAAAAAAAAATTTGTCTACATAAGTTTGTTAGAGATAGTTTTCTTTTCTTTCTTTCTTTTTTTTTTTTGAGTTGGAGTCTCACCCTGTCACCCAGGCTGGAGTGCAGTACCACGCTCACAACCACTGCAGCCTCGATCCGCTGGGCTCAGGCGATCCTTCTACCTCAGCCTTCCAAGTAGCTGGAACTACAGGCATGCACCACAATGCCTGGCAAATTTTTTTATGTATTGTGAGATGAGGTCTCACCATGTTGCTCAGGCTGGTCTTGAACTCCTGAGCTCAGGCAGTCCTCTCGCCTCTGCCTTCCAAAGTGCTGGAATTATAGACGTGAGCCACCATGCCCAGTGTAGTTTTATTTTCAATCAATAGATATAGATGCGCTTTACATACAATAAAATGCACAAATCTTCAGCGTTACACTCCATGACTTTCACAGTTGTATAGACCTATGTGACCACCCCCAAAACACTAGACAGAACATTTCCATCATCCAAAATAGCCCTCACATCCTTTTCTCAACACTTTGCTTCCTGGACAAAGGCAGTTGTCCTTTCTGCTTGAAACACTTGATTGGTTTTTGTCTGGGCTTGGACATGACATACATTGAATCATATATAGTTCATGTTCTTTGTGTCTTTCTTCTTTTGCCGAACCTAACCGGTTTGAAGTCCCGCCACCTTGTTGAGTAGACTCATAGTTTGTCCTGTTGGTGGTGGTGGCGTTGAGGGGTTTCCACTGTGTGACACATTACATGATCCGTGACTCTGTCCTCCCCTTGGTTGGTGGCATTGAATGGACTCCACTGTGTAAACATGTCACGATCTGTGACTCCACCCTCCTCCCGTTGGTGGACATCAGGCCGTTTCCAGGGTCGGGCTATCAGTGAATAAGTCAGCTCCCCCTCTGCCTTTCTGATAGCTGGGCTGGAGGTGCCCTCCTCTGGGGGTGGCTCCACAGACCCACCTGGTGGTCTCTGTGGGGGCGTGGCCACCAGCACTCACCTCCTGCTTGTCCCCGCCAGTGAGCCCCATGCCCGTTTCTACGCGGCGCAGATCGTGCTGACCTTCGAGTACCTGCATTCACTGGATCTCATCTACCGGGACCTGAAGCCGGAGAACCTGCTTATTGACCAGCAGGGCTATATCCAGGTGCCCACTGGGCTGGGCGAGGGGCAGCCTGGGTGGCCATGGCCTGGGCCCTCCCTCTGGCCAACCGCCCATTCTTGTGCCCTCAGGTAACGGATTTCGGTTTCGCCAAGCGTGTGAAGGGCCGTACCTGGACCTTGTGTGGGACCCCTGAGTACCTGGCCCCCGAGATCATCCTAAGCAAAGTAAGCATGTCCTCAGCCTGCCCCCTTTCCTGTGGCCGGCTCCACCCTCGTCCCCCTCACTCTGTCTTCCCATCTTGCTCCAGGGCTACAACAAGGCCGTGGACTGGTGGGCCCTGGGGGTCCTCATCTATGAGATGGCCGCTGGCTACCCGCCCTTCTTCGCCGACCAGCCCATCCAGATCTACGAGAAGATCGTCTCTGGGAAGGTGAGGCCAGGATGCAGGGCCACAGCCTTGGAAGGGACAGCCCCCTCTTCCCCCGCTTGTCACCTGCTCTCTGTGAAGCCCTGCTTGTCGAAAAAAATCTAGAAGTTCATTAAGTTGGAGGCTGGGTGTGGTGGCTCATGCCTGTAATCCCAGCACTTTGGGAGGTCGATGCAGGAGAGTCCCTTGAGCCCAGGAGTTCAAGACCAACCTGGGCAGCATAGCATACCTCATCTCTAAAAAAAATGAAAATTAGCCTAGCATGGTGGCATGTACCTGTAGTCCCAGCTACTCAGGAGGCTGAGGCAGGAGGATCACCTGAGCCCAGGAGGTTGAGGTTGTGGTGAACTGTGATCTTGCTGCTGCATCCCAACTTGTCTCACAACAGCAACCCCCAAAAATATTCATTAAGTTGGGCCAGGCTGTGAAGCCAGAACACTGGCCTCACTAAGGCCGACACCTCCAGTCCTGCCCTCCTGCCCACCTGTGTCCAGTCCCGCCCCATGGTGCCATAATCCCTGGCGCTTCCAGAAGGCCAGGCCTCATGGGAACACTTGCGCTACCCTGACAAGAGGCCCTTCTCGCCCTTCCTTGTCCCACTTAGCGCGAGTTTTCACGGGTGTCAGGGCAGAAGAGTGACTATGTGTGGTTCCCAGGGGCTGCTGTGGCCTCACAGGGAGACCCTCCCTCAGGGTCTACAGCCCACGCCCACCCCTCCAAATGCAGACCCCGCTGGCTCAGGGCTCAGGTCAGGCACAGTGAGACCACTGGAGCCTGCACCTATGATGTGCACCAGTGCCCGCCACCCACCAGGCCCCTCAGTGACCCCCTGAGAGAGTGACACACCCCCGGGAGAGGCGAGGAAACTGAGCCTTAGAACAGGGAAATATCTGTTCCGAGATCACACGTGTTGAGTAAGTGGAGGCCTCAGCCTGCAGAGGCCAGAGACAGGCTGGGGACCCCACCTCACTGCGGGGACCCACCATCCCTCCACGGGGCCCAGCGTCTCCCGCACAAGAGCTGCTGGCTGACCCAGAGTTGCCATCCAACGGCGGGCGCAGCCTCAGCTCGGCCTCCAGTGGGCTCCCCTGGCTCCGAGGCCCAGCTCTGCCACCAACTGGCCTTGAAACTTCAGGCAGGTCACTTTGCCTCTCGAAGCCTCGCCTTACCCACCTGGGAACTGGGGAACCAGCCATCTGCCTCTTAGGGAGGTGAGGAGACATCACTAACTGCTGAGTGGCATGCTCAGCGGACACACAGTCAGCCTCACTAAAAGGGGAGGAGGAGGCATCAGCCCCCAGGCAGAAGAGAGATTGCCAAGAAAATGGCCAGGACTGGGGGAGAGAAAGAAACAGCCACAGAAGATTCCAGAGGGGAATGAGCATAACGCCCTCCTTTGTAGCATTTTCTAGTTCCCACGCTCCTTCAGTGGTATCAGAGACTCATGCAACCCTGGGATATCTGCCCTGTGTCGGCGGGGCAGGAGCAGAACCAGAGAGGTTAAGGGCTGTGGCCAAGGTCACATAGCATGTAAGAGGCAGAGCAGTGACTATAAGCCCAGTGACTATGTGTATAGAATGCTGTGGTCTCAGAGTGTTTGGGGAAACTTTCCAGAATTGAGCTGGGCCTTAAAGAATGGAAGAGACTTGGTTAGGGAGGAGATGTCTCACATTAGCACAAGTATTTTAGAAGTCTCCACGCTTTGGGAGGCTGAGGCTGGAGGATCACTTGAGCCTAAGAGTTCGAGTCCAGCCTGGGCAACCCAGTGGCACTCTGTCTCTACAAAAAATTTTTAAAATGAGCCACGCACGGTCGTACATGTCTGTAATCTCAGCTACTCAGGAAACTGAAGCAGGAGGACTGCTTGAGGCCAGGAGTTCAAGGCTGCAGTGAGTTATGATTATACTGCTGTACTCCTGGGTGATAGAGCAAGACCCCATCTCCAAAAAAAAATTTTTTTTAAAAAGAGGTCTCACTGGGCACGGTGGCTCACATCTGAAATCCCAGCATTTTGGGACGTGGAGGTGGAGATGAGAGGATTGCCTGAGCCCAGAGGTTTGAGACCAGCCTGGGGAAGTTGGCAAGACCTTGTCACTACAATTAACACAAAAATTAGCCAGGTGTGATGGCACACGCCTATAGTTCCAGCTACTTGGAAGGCTGAGATGGAAGGATCAAGCCCAGCAGGTCGAGGTTGCAGTGGCTGTGAGCGTGCCACTGCACTCCAGCCTGGGCGACAGAGTGAGTTTCCAATTTAAAAAAAAAAAGTCTCCAGACCCCAGCAGAACTGCTTTAAGAAGCAGCAGTTGTGCCAGGTGTGGTGGCTCACACCTATAACCCCAGCATTTTGGGAGACTGAGTCAGGAGGATTCCTTGAGCTCAAGAGTTCGAGACCAGTTTGGGTGGCATTGCAAGACCTCAATTCTACAAATAGTAAAAAAAACTATAGCTGGGCATGGTAGCGCGCGCCTGTAGTTCCAGCTACTTGGAAGGCTGAGGCAGAAGGATCGCCGGAGCCCAGCAGGTCGAGGCTGCGGTGGCCGGGAGTGGCCGCTGCACTCCAGTCTGGGCGACAGAGTGAGACTCCAACTCAAAAAAAAAAAAGAAAAAAAAAACTGCAGATTCTCCAGTCCCACTCCCACTGTTTAGATCAGAAACTCTCCAGAGGGCCCAATGAGCTATTTTAGTGGGATTCCAGTAGGCACTCCAGTATGGAGGCCTCATCCCCATAGGACTGTCAGATGGAGGAGACATGGTTCTGGGTGTCCAGGCTCCAGACCACTCCCCACCCTGTGTACCCTCTCCTCCAGGTGCGGTTTCCTTCCCACTTCAGCTCTGACTTGAAGGACCTGCTGCGAAACCTTCTGCAAGTAGATCTTACAAAGCGGTTTGGTAACCTCAAGAACGGAGTCAACGATATCAAGAACCACAAGTGGTTTGCCACGACCGACTGGATTGCCATCTACCAAAGGAAGGTAGGGCCTCCCCTCCTGGAGCATGCAGGAGTCAGGGAGGGCTGCCAGGGAAAGGTTAGAAAGGGGAGAGACCCCAGGTGAGGAGGCAGTTTTGAGCCAGTGGCACCTAGAAATGAGACTTTGGGGTCATGTGGCCACTCTGGGACCTTGGACAGAAGATGCATCTCTCTGGGAGGCATTTTTCCCTTTATTGGGTTGGCTATAAGGGGTCTGGAGTTGCTAAGAGAAGTCCATACCCTAATGCTAAGCACAGGCCTGGGTCAAAGTAAATACCTCTGGAACGTTAGGCCGTTCGCATTTATTGTTGTAATGACACTTATGTTGACTGCTGAGGTCTGGGTGATTCTTGATTCCTCTCCAGGTTGAAGCACCCTTCATCCCCAAATTTAAAGGCCCTGGGGATACGAGTAACTTTGACGACTATGAGGAGGAAGAGATCCGGGTCTCCATCAATGAGAAGTGTGGCAAGGAGTTTTCTGAGTTTTAGGGGTGTGCCTGTGCCCCCATGGGTTTTCTTTTCTCCTTTTTTTTTTTTTTTTTGTGGGGGGGGGGGGGGTTGGATTGAACAGCCAGAGTTCCTTGCATCTAATTTCACACCCACCCCACCCTCCAGGGTCGGGGGAGCGGCAAGTCCAGATATTTGAAGGGACAAAACACCAGCTGCTCCCCCTCATCCCCTTCGCCCTCCTGCCGCCTATGTCACTTTACCCTTTCCCTATGCCCCCCCCCATCCCCACCTTGGCCCACTTCGGCCTGTTTTAAACAACTTTCTCAGCTCCAGTCAGACCAGGTCTTGCTGGTGGATCCAGGGACAGGGTGTGGAAAGAGGGGCTCAGGCTTAACTCCAGGCCCATCCCTATCCCACCATAGGCACCACGTGCAAAGGGTGAAAATGAAAAACCGAAAAACTGACATTCCCTTCAGGGCAGTGACGCCTGGGAAGGAGATGGTTTTAGTGGCATGTTCAATGGGCTGCCCTGGAGAATCCTTTTTTAAAAAATTTAAAATCGTATTTAAGTTCCACCAGTGCCTCCCCCCCTCCTTCCCCTACCTCCACCCCTCCCAGGTCCCCCCACTTCCTAGATGCATTTTAACGAGGCTGGGAAGCAGACTGACTTTGTAAAGGGAGACGCTGGGGCTTGAACCTCCACCCTGAGCTGCTAATCTCCCCTGCCTGCCCCCCACAGGGTCCTCTGCCAATCCTGCAAGGGTCTCAGCCCTTTAGGAAGCCCCCCAGTCTCCTCTTCCCCAGCAGACCTCTCCTCACCCTTGGGCTCTGGGAGTCAGAGCAGCAGCCCCTTTCCCTGCCAAAGAAGAATCATCCCCCCAAAATACAGAGGGGGAGCCCCAAGCCCGCGGTCTTTCCTCCCAGCAGCATTCTCCCCAAACTCCCTCATTTTATTCTCAGCGAGATTTTAATGCCCTCTCAGCTCAGCTGGGAAGGCGACTCTGCGAAAGGACAGGGAAGAGGCAAAGTCTCTCCCACCCCCACCCCCACGGTCCAGGGTTCAAGGCCAGGGTTGCTGGGGTGGGACTGCCTGTTTTATTCACCCAGCAGCTTCTGCCCCCCCACCCCAGGCGCCCCTCCTCCAGCTTAGCTGTCAGCTGTCCAACACCCCCTGTCTGATTTGTGCTCTCCTCTCAACAGAAAAGTGGGGAGCCACCCCCTTCATCCCCGTATCTGTCCCTCTCACAACTTCTCCCCATCCCAGGAGGAGCTCTCAGACCTGGGGTGGGGCCCCGGGTGGGCGCGGGCGTGATTCAACCTGTGTGCTGCAAAGGACTTCCTCTTGAACAGTGTGCTGTTGTAAACATATTTGAAAACTATTACCAATAAAGTTTTGTTTAAAAAAAAAAGTGTCGCTGGTGTTCTCGACTTCGGTCACCCACCCACACACCCCCAGGGGGTTGGAAAGGGAAATTCGGACCCCAGCGCCCAGGCTGATCAGTCCTGGCCTGGAGTCCTTGTAAAACCGGGCTTAGCTGAAATTCCGCCACTCCCTCCGCCCCGCAGGAGAAGGGGCACCAAACTGCCCTTTGACCCCGGATTCGGGGTCCCCAAATCTGCGGCGCGCCCCCGCTGCGTCCAGCCCAGGACCGAGAGGGCGCTCTAGGGAGACGCTGGGGCCGGCGCGCCAGGAGGCCGAGCGGC